CCCAAAGACACATGCGATGCAAACCGATGTCTTTATACAAAAAATGTCTAAAGTTTCTTTGGTGGTTTTTTGTTTTTTACAGTCAGGTTTCGCATAAATGTGATTCAAATACCATTAGTAACCAAATTTTGATAATGCAACCTCCCATTTTTTTTACTTAAAAAACATAAACAATCTACTGTAATCCTCATGTATAATACTAACCCTTCAGGATTTTTCATCCTTTGTGGTGTACCCTCTCTGGTGRCAAAACAGATTATTTTAGAGACAAACTCTTGTGGACTTGTTTGTCACTGCAGAGGAGCAGCTTGATCCGCTCCCAGAAGCTGGTTGTTAAATTAGCAAAGCTTCAGAGTTCAGAATAAACATGGCCGTCGAGGAAAAAGTGATGACCATAGTTTGTGTTTATTTTTAACCAAGAAAAAAAACAATATAAAAAGACTTCTCCAACGTTCATCGGACTTTCTGGTGAGCCATGTTGTTTTRTCTTGTGTATTTTGGRTTCTATCCATGTTTCTGTCACCTTGCGTTCTGACTGGCTACATGTCACATTCAACAGGCTGTGTGCTTGTTTGTCCTGGGGAACACCATATGCATTGGGATGTCGAGCCAAGACTAYCCAACATGTTGATTATCCCCAATTTGAGCGGTCCCGACTTCCTTCTGAGCCGACTAGATTGCTCTTAACACACCACACACRACAGGAATATGTCATAAGATTATCTTTAGAGYCATCACAATAAGACTGCCTGACATTGGATAGAGGGAGAAGTTTGGATGATTTATCCCCTGCAACACAATATTTCAGCTATTTATAAGAAAATATTGAAATCTATTAGTGGTAGTACATTAGCAATAAAATCTGTCAAATTTCCTCTAGTGTATAGCCTACTGTGACCCCCCAAGCTTATGGATAATTTTTGTAGTTAAAATTTTCAAGTTATACATGCATACAAGTTGTACAGATTGTCTCAGAGCATGTAGGCCCTTTTTACTGCAGCTGCTTTCCCCGCGGCCGACAGTCCGCTTGTCACCAACACACATGCACGGTCTAGTACATCTGTCTTTATGGGGACATTGCATTGACTTCCATTAACTGACCCCATACCCTAAACCTAACCTCACAGTTACATATCTAACCTAAACTCAATTCACACCTAAACCTAACCCCTGACCCACCAACGGCATTTCCCCCCATGGGGACTAGGCTTAAATCCCCATAAGTACCACTTGATCCCCACAAGTAAC